CTATTGCAAGTGTGGTGAATGGACGAAGAGACTATTTCATCGTTTATCGGTAAGTTATACACGGTTACTATTGAACATAACCTCACCTTAAAAAATACAAAATGTATATTAAATATTATTCAACAACAAATTTCAACTAAAAATAATTTTTTGGTTTCAGGTCAAAGAATTTGATTCTGAAGCTGCATGTTACACAGATTTTAATGCAAACGTAACTGGTGATATGACCTACGGAAATCTGCTATCGATTATTTTAGAAGGCGAAGAAACTGAACAAATTGTACTAGATGGATCAAAGCTTTGTTAATAAAACAAATTGTATTGCCGATTTAGCAATTTAGTTTTGTTATTTCAACTGTTCCATAACTATTTTCATTATTCATCAAACAATTCTGTTTGTTCACCGAACAATCCCATTTTAACAATTTTTTTTGTCCCAACAACAAATAGCATATAGCTGGTTCTATATTGACAATCCGGAATTGTTCTGTGAACTTAATTTTTAGTAACCACAACAATTCTTTTTTCTCCGTGCAGATGTCTTTTGTATTTGATGCACTTTTACTGTGTTATACACTATACCCGTATTAAACTACTATTCCTCCGTTATTACTACTATCACTATTGTGATGGTGGGCCCTTTTTTAAAAATCAAATATAATGCAATTCTAATCAAATGTACAAATATATGTTATACACTTCCATATTGACTTGGTGTTCTATTTATTAATCAGTTGACAACAGACATCTAGCAATATTATTCTCCAATATGCAATACTACAAAAAGATATTTTCTGATTAGCATTTCTAATTAATTGTATTACTAATTGAATTGAACTGTTAATTACAAATAATAACTATATAATTGTCAATTACCTCGACATTGTAATTGATATTATTATTATTATTCTTACAATTATTGACATTAAATGAAAAAATTGTAAAGAGATTTTGTGTTAAAAAGTATTTTATTGTTTATTTAAATCAAAACAATAATATTAATTATTTTCCTAGCTACGAATTAATTGAAACAGAAACTGTCATCCACAAAGCCTATGTTTACATTTAGAGTCGGATTTTATTAACGACTCGCTTCTGTGTCAGCTATAAAAAAATATATATATCTCCATATGCTGAAGTGAAAATTACACCGAATGTAAATGAAACAAAAGACATTTTAAATAGAAAAAAAATCGATATTGGTAATTGTAACATTGGTGAATTTTTTTTTTCATTATAAAAAATAATTATTATGTTAGATATAGTATTCGGCACCATGAAATTCAAAATTTAAAGCAATCTACTTTACTAATAACAATTTATTATTCTTTAATCAAACCCAATTTCCACAAAAAACCATATTTAGGTTGAAAATCAATCAAAATTAAAGAAAATAAACGACGTGTTGGCTGACACATGTTGACATATCCACTGGATATTCCATGCTGTGATGGTTCCCTAAATTGTTCCTCAATTTAATTTGTATAAACTAACAATAAGTTGGAAAGAGCTATCCCTCTAAATATCATTATTTTTGTAGGTCAAACTCGAACCCTTACGTAATCTTACTTAGGATATCCTATCAGTCTATTATTATCATCATCTTATTTAAGATTTGACCAAAAGATTCCGCAGTTCTCTTCATTGAATAATTTACGAGAAAAGTGATAGACAAATTTAACATTGCGACGATCATGTGACCTAACAAACAATTGCTGGTAAATCAGTCTCCAGTGTCAGTTATCCACGGATAATAATTAGAGACCTACGAAGACAAGACATCTGGAGCTGCATCCCTTATACGATTTGTTCCGGAGCAAGTTTGCGGTAGTACAAGTGTAGTATAGCACAACAATGGAGAACCACAACAACGGAGTTCATACTACAAGGCTATCAGATTTTACTGTCATCCGCTACCTATTACTAATAAAGTCTACAAAGGATACTTGATAAAAGCAACAACTATATGTATACAAATCCATAAAGAAATATATTTATTTTTCAAATTCAAATTAGTTCAAAAATTGCCAAAAATGATAAAATACCTATAGTTAAAAATTTTACAATCGTATTTTAAAACTGGTATTGACGTAGCATGGTTCGAAGGACGTCCTCGACCTCTGTTGGGTGCAAAGGGATTTTTGGTTGTAGTATTTCCTCGATCTTTCTTGGGTGTTACGAGACTTTTAGTTTCCGGACGTCCCCGTCTTTCTTTTGTACACACGCACCATTCTGTACTGAATGCACAATATTAAATTTTCCAGCTTTTTTAAGAAACCGAATAATTTCCCGTTATGCCCCAAAACCATCTTTGTAATTAAATGAATTTTGTGTAGTTACGGTTTAACATTTTCTAACCTATAGTAGCGCATTTTGTTTGTAAAGAAATACACTTTAACAAGGTTAAATTAGTTTTTATGTTAAGGGAGGTGCACCAGTTGTAACCAGTGCAGAAATTTGAGTTAGATTTTAATAGGGACCTCGCTGTGCGTCCTTTTTGCCAGATGGGTTCCGGAAGGGAAACTCTAGGCGGGACCGGGCATTTTTCGTCACGATCGACGCCAGCGAGGAATGTTGGTAAGGATCTAGCAGAGATATCCCTGCGATTTCTCTACCAGAAGTAAAGGGTTCTCGCTAGTACCCTATTAGCTCCCTTTAATCGATTATTATTAAAAAAACTTAAAATAATAAAATTAATAAATATTTAATAAATCCAAAAAACATATTTATATAAAGATCCAACGTCCTTTCTTCCGTGTGTGTTTTTGAAATTGTAGAGTTAAAAACGCCCGTTATGCTATTTATTATAGCCGTAAAGTTTAATTGAACTTCCTAACCTCCAAACAGTACTAACACAAATTTTAACCAGAATTATAAATAAAAAAGTTAGAAATCATAATATTACCTGAAGAAATTGGAATAATCATAGTAAAAATTAAAAATTTGCAATAATGATATTAACATAAAGGCAAAATTTGAGGTTAGAAAACCAATCAATATATTTTTTACTTTTAATATTCTAAGTACATATTTCATGTTTGTTGGCTTAATATTAAATATTCTTAAATTGATAATATTATGTTAATATTTACCTTCTGATAAAGAAGATGAGTGATTTGAGTCATCTAAATTGTCAATATCCATAACTTGCTCTTGAACATATTGCATTCTATTTAATTCAGCGCGTACGGATTTCACCTCACGATATTGTTTGCTAAGCATTCGCGAATGCTTTTTTTCCTCTCATTATTTTCCATTATTAATTAACAAAAGAACAATAAAATTCAGGTTCACACAAAATGACATGTGCACTTGCACCATTCATGTCATCATTCTCGACGATGGAACATCGATATATTGAAAACTTCGATACATCGATTTCGATATTTTCGATTTAAATTTAAATATTATTTTTAAATTAAATAAAAAGTGAAACTATATATAATAATGTAATTTATTAATAATATTATTTTGATTCTATCACTCGGTGGTATTTAATAATAAATTTAATTTATTTAATAATTTTATTATTATAATTTATTATTATTAATATTTATTCTTTTTATTATTATTTCTAAAACGAACATTTTAAAAATATTTGTGTCCCTTATTGAACATAATTAAATTCATATTTTAAATAAAGAAAACATCGAAAAATAATCTAAGTCCGATTCGAGGTATTTCTGGCTAGAATTTAGTAAGGGCTTAATCAGATTTTTCTAGTTTGAATTGCCTTTCTAGAATTCAAACGAGATCTCAGCAGATATTTCTAGTCTGAATTTCTCACAAGAATCTAATCAGGTTCGAGTACGACTTTTCTAGGCTAGATTTTCTAGCGCGGTTCTAGTCGGAATCCATTATCACGTTGGGAAGCTTAGGGACATTTCTACACGGGAACTTTTGAAAAATTGATTATTTTTTTACATTTTCTTAAACTATATGTTTTTAGAAGTGTTTCTGTAAATTTTTATATTAATCTGATGAAAAATTTATCAGATTTACAGCAAAATGCTGAGGCGCGCTAGATAGCTATACAGATCAGGCAGCAGCCACACCTGGCGCCAAAGACAATAGCGATTTCCTTTTTATCCTCCTCTACGGAAGAGGAGAATTGGAAGAATTGTTGTATGGTCTAGGAATTGACGACCCCTAAGTTTAAACTTTAAATGTTTTTTTCTCAAAATAACATTTTTAAAGTCGGTGACCACGATTACTCGAAATCCATTAATTCGATTTACTTGAAATTTAGTTTGCATCATTTAAAACATATAAATCTAGTTTCCAATCGAAGGATTTCTTTTTTATTCAATCGATCTTATTTTTCAACAAAAATCAAACTCTTACCTTTGATGGGTCGCCATTTTGTTAAATGTATATTTTTTTTAATCTTTCGATTGGGAACTAGAAAATCTTATAAGAAATGTAAATCAATTTTTATTTTTGCATTTTAGATGAACTATACTTGTGGAATTCTGGTCACCGGACTTTAATGATTTTCCCGAAGGCGACACTTCGATGGCTCATTATACATAAAGCTTTTCATAAAAAAATTTTGTTGTTAATTTAAGTTCTAGACATGTACTTTTAGGTAATAAATATGTTTTTATAGAATTCTATGTTTATTAAGAAAACATTTTTGAAAAAGACCTTCCTTCGCTTTACAACTGCTGTACCTCCCTTAAACTGAGATTTCTAATACTTAATTCCCTTTTAAAATCAGCAAAACATTCGAATTAGGGTAATTACAATGGAATCAATTTTACCATTTCAACTGGAATTTTCAATATGACGGAAATATGTATAATTCTATTATCTAACAATTATTGATATTAATTATTGAAAGATATTAACAATAGAGAAATATCAAATTTAATTAAATTATACAAATTATTATCTCATGATCCTGTTGAATGATGTATCTTACTCAATAAAAATTTGACAAATTTCATAGAATCACACATAACTTTTCATTATATCTCTGCCTCTCTGTTTGTTTTCAGGTAAATATTCGGATGATTCGAAATAATCGACTGTGCAGAGGACATGATGGACGAGGGAGAAGAAGTGTCCATTGTGGCGTTAAATTATCGTTGATTGAAACAGTAGCGTGTATTTTTACAATTCGGTTAGTTAAATTGGTGATTTTATTTGAAATCGGTTTAACCAAGTCCAAAACAATGTCATAGTTTTATTTTCAAGTGTGCGAGAGTGCGCGCAAGTGACGTTAGCGTTAGAACACAATGGCCCTACTGTTCGTTGTAATTGTTATTTTGGTCACCACTGCTATGTCTTTGCCACCAGTTATAAGAATCGGTGAGTTTTTAAGATTTAAATTTAAAAAATATATACTACACGTTATCTAATATAATAATTCAAATATAAACAAATTACATTCCTTCCAGAAATCAATTCACTCTACTTTCATTTAGAATATCAAATAGAAATATAACATTGTATCAAGTAATATTTGTTAAATGAAATATATATTCAAGAGATTTAATGGTTATATTAATTAATAATCCAATGATTGACAGAGACTTTTGTTGGCAAAATTTTAATTAAACAAAATTTAATATCTGAACGAATAATATAGTGAGTATGAATGCGGTTTTATAAATTGGATTGAGAAACCTCATCTATATATCAATAATATATTTTGGCTTGCTTTTAACTGTGATTCTTGTAAAAAAAAAAACTTACAATAACACAGAATTCATTTGTAATGTCAATATTTTTTGTTTCCAGTTATATTGAAATGTATTTTTATTTCATTAAAAAATAATGATGAAATGTGGTTGAACAAATTTTTTAATTTAACATACAGTTCCATTTTAATTGTTTTGTACTTCTCTATATATAAAAAAATTTCATTTAGAGTTGAGCATAGAAAGAACGTTATTGCTTTTAATAACTTTCCAATATGTAGTTTGAATATAGTTTTGTATGAGTTATAAGCTGTACTCATCAACTAAATTTACGAGAAGTATATATTCATAAAATATTTAAATCCACATGATTTAATTTTTACATTTTTAATTTGCAAATTAAAAATTAAAAATTTTTTTATTTATATTTTAGTTATAGCGATAAATTTTTATAATACACTGTTCATGCGGTGTACTGGAAATTGCATTAACAATTAATACTCCTTATGAAATATGTACTTATCATTTAAATTTACCTTAATTTAATACAAAAAAAAGTAATTAGCGAAAGCTACCCGTGCTGAAAATTTTACCGGGACCAGACCTGGAACAACCGGGGCCAGATTTGGCAACATGGCTATGTTCAGTTTTAAAGATAAAAAAAAATCAAGGAAATCGTAACTTTTTTGAAAATTTATAACTCTTATTTTATTTCTATTGCATAATTAATTAATTAATTTTTATTTCATAATGTAATATTATTTTGTATTTACACTCAAATTCGTTACGAAAGACTGGCAATTTGTTGGGTATCCAGTGTTTCCTAACACGAATCGTACTCTTCAATTTTGGTATATTGATATTTTAGCACACACGACGCTTTTTAAAATTTATTTTGTTATTCTGTTTCCTTACATGAATTTTGACTATAGGTGTTTTAATATAATTGACATTTTTTATATATTAATATAATTAATTATTAATATATTGTAATACAGAAATTTTTCAAACTTGATTTTTTGATGTATCTTTATATTTTTCGACCTCAGGAATCAAAAAATCACATTTTTTAAAAATGTCGTTCCGTGAACGACACGAAACACAAAATATAATCCACACATTATAGGTTATGTTTGCTTTGTTCAAAACAAAAGCAGCCATTTTAGATTTTTAATTGATTTAAAGGTTGGCACTACTGTACACTGAACATGTTACTGCTACTAGACGGCTGTTTAGTAAACCGTACTCTTATAGGGTAAATGTCCCAATTATTGTGATGTACAACCCAAGACCGACTTTAATGATAAAATAATAAAAGTGTAAATGAAATAATGATTTAATTCTTTTTGTTAAATCACTATTAGTGTCTATTAAAATAGAAACGATACTTTAAACTTGAAGAAATAACAAATATATTATTAAAAATATTAACTTTTTTAAAAATGGCATATGCTGGTATTACTGCAAGTTTGCATGAATTACTGCGAATGGTGTGCACCAATTACTGCAACGCTAAAAGTGTTGATTTAGAGGTTAGGTTGAGTGGATAGACCACAGTAATAGCAGTATGAGAAAAATATACGCATGCTCTAATTACTGTGATAGGTTCAAGTGTAACATGAATAAATAATTTGATAATAGTCGAAATATGCATCATTAGTGGATATAATATCAAATATCATTTGGAATAAGTTTTAAAGTCATTTTGAAACAGTTTTATGTTCTCAATTACTGAGTTTTACTAATTTTATAAAAATCGCAGTAATTGGCGCATCAGCAGTAATTCATACACTTACCCTATTGGTCCGTCGAAAATTAACAATACTGTATAGTTATCACAAACGAACCTAGAGTCTTACTCACTATTCAGTTCTCTCCGTGTACATTTTCTTAAATATTTCGAATATTATAAGAGCTAAAGGGATAAATTTTTTTTTAAATTGTAGGTCTCAATGGCGGACAAATAATAAGATTAGTTTGAGCAATATTAATAAAGATTAATTATTATTTTTTGTGCATTTTAAAATTTTTGAAAAATCGTTTTTTGCCCATAACTTTAAAAAAATTTTAGAACATCTATTAATATTTTTCTTTAATTTTGTAGAATTTATTAAGACGCATCTTTTGAGCTATTGGCGAACATTCTACTGATATTCTATCCAAAGTTATTGAATTTTTAAAAATTAAAGACCAATAGATATTTATTTCTAGTTTTGTAGAGTTTTTCAAGACGCATCTTTTGACCTATTAGCAAATATCCTTCTATTATTTTATCCAGAGTTATTGACATTTTGAAATTGAAAAATTTTGAAAAACCTGTTTTTTTGCCTTATTTATTAAAAAATATTTATTTATCATTAAAATCATTACGAATAACTTGGAGAATATTTAAAAACGAATCAATTGACCTATTATTGAACCTTTTATTGTGAAATATTACGAAGTTATTGATGTTAAAAATCTATCTCTGCAAATACTCAAAAATACAATTTAACGCTCCTTCTTAAAATTATAATCATACCAACTAAGTTACCATAAATTGATCACAATCATTGGTCGATAACAAGTCAAAAGCTTTGGTGGTCTTATGACTCCTTATAGTTAATTGCGTAGACTTCTACTCTAACTGCTGCCTGTGCAGGCAAACGATGTGTGAGTATTTCGTTAATAATCAGCTATTGCATTATCAAAAGGTTATTTATTTTTTTTTATTCGTCTATGATAAAATTTGTTAATAAAAAAATGTCGAGTGTCTCACTTTTATTGTACACTGTATTAATTATCATAATAAATTCCGACTTATTGTTGAAAAAAATTGAATATTATTTGTTCCCACGCTTAAAAGATTAATTTCTCAAAGAACGAGGATAGGCAGAGGTGAGTAAAGAGAGAGTGTATTTCGCTTCGGCCGTTTAATTGGTAGAATTTCAATGGCGAGCCACGAGAATGAAAGAGAAACTTCCCGGCAATTTCCGAGGCCGGTAACAACAGCAACGGCTGCCAGTTAACTTGAAAAGCGAAAAGGAGAATCCTAACTGTTCGAAGTGAATTGTATGCGCGAAAGTGAGAGAAATAAATGGGAAGAAGCCGGTCTCAAGAGTATCAACACAGAGAGAAGATGAAGAAGAAGAAGAAGAAGAAGATGCGGGGAAGAAAGAGAGGTAAAGGCGTTGTTAGATAGGTTGAATCCTCCCTTGCGTCTTGAAATAATTCTAGAGACGAAAATTATACGGAACTGAAGAGATAATGGGGAAGCACCTAAAGTATAAAACTAGAGTAAAGAAAATTGCAGTAAGTGTATGTGTGAGTGTTTATTTTTAAATGCTTTCGTATTTCACTCAACTATATATATATATATATATATACAAAAAAGAATTTGCACATCTTTCTGATTGGCCCAATTATAACAGAACAGTGCCTCTTCATAAATTACTCTCTCGTTTACAGAAACGATGGTTCGCAATTTTTCTAGCAGAAAGAGTATAAGGAGAGGGAGAAAAAGAATTCCGCCTCTGAGATGAATTATTATCATCTCTTTTGTGAAAGAAAAATTCTTTAATCCATTTTTGTGAATATAATTTCCATAGAGAAATGCTGGGTTCATTTAATAATATGTGATTATATATAGGTAAGAGAATATATTTTTTTTTCATATATTATTTTGTCATCAATCAAATTAGATTAATATATTATAACTTATTATTATAAAAGTTGATGATGGTAAATCTTCATTTAACGTACTTGAGCAAATAATTTTTGGAAGGTGATAAACTCTTGATAACATTTGTGTACGGTGTCTCTATCTCCTTTACACTCGATATGGTTGGCCGCTTGCCATAACATTTACATTTCCGCAAGAGAGTTTCATTGTTCCACAACACTTTCATAGGTTAGTTGGATTACACACAATGTTCCCTATTACGTGCATCTACAATGTTTATAAATGTGCAAATTGACTTTGATTAGTTAAATGCCCGACAAGTTATTTATTTCCTTGTTCCCTATATATATATATATATAAGGACATAATAAAACTATCAAAATTATTTTTAAATTCAGTAATATTTTTCTATTATTAAACATTAAAAGATGAAGAAATATTTAGAAAAAAAGTTGTTAAAAATTTTTTTAATGACAAATAAAAATAAAAAAGTTTTTGTGAATATATTTATACAAAGAATTTATTAAAAAATATTTTAATAATAAAATGAATTTTTTTGAATTTATAACATTCAATATACAGGTAAAAATATTTTAATAATAAAACGAATTTAAAAAATGTTCACTTTTTAAATTTATTACATTCAATATACAGACAAATAGAAATATATTGTAAGTATATTTACAAAAAATTTATTAAAAAATATTTTAAATATTTAAATTAATTTACGTGAATTTACTACAGAAAAAGGCGTTAATGAATTTTTAGAAAAATATTTTATTAAAATTAAACAATGAAAGTTCATTTGAGATCCTTTATAACATTTATTAACGTTGTTTATTATTTTTTCCAAAGAGTATGAGAGAAATTTACCACAATTAATGTTAATGCAGTGAAAGGAAAATAACTTTAACTTGTACGATAAGAGGTTTAAGTGGCAAACACATTAGAGTAAATTCTCCCTAATGCTCACTAGACAGAAAGCCTGATGCACAGAAACTTTTTAT